AAAATGTATCTATTCAATGACTGCAGTAGGATATGTAGCCCCAGCTAGGTTTTACTTTATAGGATGCGTAAAGTTAGACTTGTGTTCATGGAAATGTATGTGTCACCTGTGTTTGCTATGAGGGTATTTGGATTGACTAGGGTCTTTGGTGATTCAATAAAATGTGGGGGGAAAACGGTATAGAAAGCAAACACAGATACTAAAGACAGTGGGAGGAGAGTGGGAGATGGCAGAAGGTAAGAGATAGGGAGGGAATCAAGGATGGGAGAAAAAGAAGCAAAACATACAGAAAACAAGAAATGGAAGATCATTTGTTGACAGTAACATGTATGTTGATGTGCTTGATTGAGACAATATACAGTGTACTCTGGATGGAAAATCTCATTTTGTATGCTGTAATGATGTACAGTGAATGAATGCAAATAAATAAATTGAAATTTAAAAAAAGATGCCGTATCATAAGGTATTAGATAATATTAAAAAAAAAAAATTACAAATAACGTAAGCACATACAAACACCCACGTCTCGGCCAGCCCCACAGCAGCATGTAAGTGCTGTGTAGAGGAACTGGATCCCGTGGGGCCCATGAAGGGCAGAGTCCCAGCTCCAGTAGCAACATGCAGGGCGCACATGAGTGTGCCCAGGACCCTGACAGGATGGGTTAGAGGGGAAGATGAAAGCACAGCCAGGCCCCATTGGAGGGTGCTTGCTCTCCCCTCTCAAGTGCACACACGTGTGCACTATCATGAACCAACTAGGGGCCAGCAGGTGGCGTGCTGGTTGAGGCACCAGACTCCCACATGGCCAACTATGGTCCGAGTCCCGGGCTTGATGGCTTGCTCTCTCACTTTCTGTCTCTTTCTCTCGTTAAATCAAAGCAAAATAATACATAAAATAAATAAAAAATTATTAAAAAAAAAAAAAAACTAAAGGTTGCCTTTCCAACCCCTTATGACTGGGTAAAACTCACTTTGGTAATGAAAAGAGTGAACAGTTAAACACAGTGACTGTCAAAGGGGAGAATGGACTGCTATGGCACCGCTACGGGATGCTAGAGCCAGGGCAGAAGGCCTGCGCTTGGACACTTGGTCAGCCCGGACATGCCGAGTGTGCCCACAGGTTTGCCTGTGGCCCAGCCTGGCTGGAACATGCCAAGCATGCCCACAGGCCTGCCTGTGGCACGGCCTGGCTGGAACGCTGGTGAAGAGCCATGGCATGGCAGGACCCATCCAGGATACCTGTCTCGGTCTCCCAATCTCGCTTGCTCTCTCATATGAAGAAATTTAAGTAAGCTTTAAAGAAGAAAGGAGGCAGGAGAGGGACACTTACCTCATCATTGAGCCAGTGGTAGTTCTTCAAGGTCTGGATATCCCCGCGAGTGATGCGCAGCTTGAAAGCACTGCTCAGGATCTCGTCCTGCGGGCCATGCCCTAGGGCATTACTGATTTCCTTCTCCATGTCCTGGAAGTCCAGGGGATGCTACTTTAATACGAATCATGGAAGTCCAAGACTGAAACATGCTTTGCATTTCTGCAGCATCTGATGTGACAAAAATGTACTATCGAAGGCATACTACACTGCAGTATAGAATGTTCACACTTACCGAATGTTGGTTCAATTATTCACTTCTGGAAACAGTAATTTATTTAGGACATTCACCTCTAAAGTATGGTCTGGAATACTCCACAACCTTTACTGAGCACTGTACGCCAAGCATGGTGCCAGACGCTTGAAGCACATAGTTAACCCTGACTTGTGAGAAAGGTATTACCACCATCTCATAGAAAAAAACACTGACACTCCCGGATTTATGTCACATGCTCGAACTCATGTCATTAAAGGCAGCGTCAAAATCTGAATCCAGGCACATGTAATTCCTTAGCCTTTGCTCCCTCCACAATACTAAAATCTTGATTTACTTCCTAAATTTGTATTTGAAACATTGAATAGGCCCAGCTGTGGTGGCACCAGTGGAAAGAAAGGCACTGCTGTGTGGTGGCTGGAACCCTGTGGGAGGCCTGGGCTTACCTCCCAACCCAGCCTCAAAAGGCGGGCGGGCTGGGTGGTGGTACGCACTGTGGTCCCAGCTAATCGGGCAGGGCGGGAGGGCCGTGGTGTGGAGATCCTGTCAAAGCACTTCTCCCCCCTCCATACTCACTTCCGCTCCTTCTCCCTCATTTAAAAAGATAAAAGTAAATTGAGGACATTTGAAAGAGCAGACTGTCCATTTTGACAGAAAGAGAACAAACAGGAAATAGAGGGCTTATTGAACAGATGATAGGGAGTTATACAGGTACATGCACATATGCCACAGATGAACCTATAGACCAGACGGGGTTTTCATCGACATTTTTACTACTGTTTCCTCTACTTTTGCTTTCTTAGTCCTTTCTCTCCACCTGCATGCCCACTACAGAGTAAGTGCTCAAAAGATAGTCACTAGGGACCAGCAGATGGCATAATGGTATGTCGCTGGACTCCCATATAGTCGACCACGGTTCAAGTCTTGGACCCAGCCTGAAACTCACTCAGGGCGCGTGTGTGTACCCGAAATCCCAAAAGGAGAACGGAGGAGAAAATATAGCAGTGTGGCCACCCCTCCGGGAGGTGATTTCCTACTTTCTGTCTCTCTCCAGCAAGCATACGCACCCTATAGCAAAAAAATCCCTCCTTAAAAAAAAAGATATTCACTGGATAGGACTGACCCGAGGGAGCCAGGGTGTATGCTCATACGGAAAAAGAGAACTTTAAGGCCAGCAGGTGGTGTGGTAGTTAAGGTGCTGGATTCCCATAGGGCCAAATGTGGTTCAAGTCCTTGACCCAGACACATGAAAATCACAGTGGGTGTGTGTACATGCGTGCCCAAAATCCCACGAGGAGAAACAGAGAAGGGACTGAGGCATGGCCATCTCCCCCTGGGGGGTGATTTCTCACTTTTCTTCTCCCTCTCTCTCTCTAGTAGCACATGAACCCCAGGACAAAATCCTAAAAACTAAAATAAAATTAAAAAAGAAAGAAAAAGAGAACTTAAGGGCTGGGTTCCCCTACTTACTGGTTGAGGAAACCAGATCCAATATAGCCAAGGGCAGTTCAAATCCCAGCCCTCACAGCTTAAAAACACACCATGCACATCTACGTGTGTGCCCCAAATTCTGAAAGGATGGAAAGATGAAGGAGGAGGGACTGTGGTATGTCCACTCCCCTTTCACAGGTGCTTCCTATCTCTCCCTCTCTGTCTTGTATACACTCCCTCTGGTAATTAAAAAAGAGAACTTTATCTTCATATACCTTCTTTTCTGTAAGTTTGTAGTGTTTCAAATGCAGTAATCAGCAAGAGGAATATTTTAGTAAACTATAATCACTTACGAAAAAACCAACAAACTTACTCCTAATACCAAACCCACAGTACAATACAATACACAGTATGTAACTCAACGTATCTGAAATGTCGAAGAATCTACAAAGAACCCATTATATTGTTTATGTGATAATTACCTCTACTCACATCTGCCGAGCATTAATCTGATCCCTTAGGCCACCTTCACGGATCACTAATGATCACTGTACCAAAGTGAGTATTTTACTTTTTTCCCTGTACAGTCATCCCTAGCCTGGAAAAAGTCCCCCAAACAAAGCATTCGTTCAAGCTTAGAATAACAGAATAGTTAAAACATGCCTCTTATTTTGAGCAATCCAAGAACAGTACCTCAGTAAGCTCAAGGAGGTCCTCTGGTCTTCGGTCCCTCTCTTGGCCTGAGCAGTTCCTTTCCTTTGTCTCGAGGACGGACATTCTCCTCCTAATTAAGCCATTGCTCCCACTGCCCAGGCGGAGTCGGGCGGACACTTCTTCTGAGAGGTCAGGCTCCAACTGGTGTCCCCGCCTCTGAGCAAAAACAGTTCCTGTGTTCTACCGACATGTTTGAACTCACAAATATAAGACATGTCACACATGGAATACAGAGCAGTGCTAGGAAAGTGAAAGAGAACCAGTCACTCCCCAGGGAGAGCAGATCTGGCGTATCTGTGCATCCCTGAGAGGGGAAACAGAAAAAGGCTCTAGATCTAAAGCTCAGATCACTCACTTCAAGCCATAAAACAGAACACTCACCACTCGACCTGAACGTAGCAAGGAAAGTATTTTCAGTTCTTCTATCCCAGTTAAAATTAATGTGGTTAAAGACATTTTGCAAAGTTTAAAAAGGCAAAAAATCTGATCTATGACCCCATTACTGGAGAAAAACCCCTGCTGCCTTTCTACTGAAAGCAAGCATCTCAGCTCATCTTTGCTGTTGTGAGTTAACTATCAGGCACGTGCATCTGCAGACAGACAGAGAGAAGGAGACAGAAAGAGAGTGACAAAGTACCCCTGGGGGAAGCGGGGTGCAATGGTCACATAGTCCCTGCTCTTTCATTCTCTTCTCCAGATTTTGGTCGTACATATGCGCCAGGGTATTTTTCAAGCAGCAGGGTCCTGGATTTGAACTGGTCAGTCAGTCATGTAAGATCCAGCCACTTTAACCACCATGCTACTGACTGCCCCGAACTTTCCTAATTTTTAAAATAATCTGCCCTACTAAATGGCGTCAATTTGGCATTAAGATGATGATAGGGAAGGGTCTTACCAAAGTTTCTGGGATGCTGACATAATCCTATTTCTTTTATTCTGTGTATTTTTCTGTAAAATGTAAGTACTTTTTCAAAAGTTAAACTAGGGGGAACCAGCAGTTGGCGTAATGGCTATGTCGCTGGACTCCCACGTAGTCGACCACAGTTCGAGTCCCAGACCCAGTGGCTTACACTCACGCCGGGTGTGTGTGTGTGCGTGCCCAGGATCCCGAGAGGAGAATAGAGGAGGAAGGGATTGCAGTGTGTCCATCCCCGGGGGGTGATTTCTCGCTTTCTATCTCTCTGTCTCTCTCTGTCTGGCGAGCGCACGCGCCCTATAGCAAAAAACCTCTCCAAAAAAAAAAAGTTAAACTAGGGGACCAGCAGATGGCTAGTGGTTACATCACTGTACTACTTGGCCAATTGTGGTTCGAATCCCAAACCTGGTGGCTTGAAAATCATGCCAGGGGTGTGAGCATGCATGCCCCAAATCCCAAGAGGAAAATGAAGGAGAAGGGACTGCGGTGTAGCCATCCCCACTGGGGGGTGGGGGGGGTGATTTTTCACTTTCTCTCTCACTGTCTCTGTTTCTCTCTGGCAAGCGCATGCAACAAACAAAAAAAAACCGTTAAGGAGCCAGCAGGTGGCATGGTGGTTAAGGGTGCAGGACTCCCACATGGCCGACTATGGTTCAAGTACTGGACGTGGTGGATTGTTTCTCACTTTCCCTCTCTCTCTCTCTCTCTTACTCTGGTCAAATTTTAAAATATAAATAAAAATAAATAAAGTTAAATAAAATAATTCTTTTAAAAAAAAGTTAAACTGGGGGACCAGCAGATGGCACAGTGGTTATGTCGCTAGACTTCTTCATGGCCGACCGCGGTTTGAGTCGGATCTAATGACGTGAAAATTATGCCAGGCATGTGTGCACGCGTGCCCAAGATCCCAGGAGAATAGAGAAGGGATTGCAGCATAGCCATCCTCTCTGGGGGTGATTTCTCATTTTCCCTCTTGCTGTGTCTGTGTGTGTCTCTCTGGGGAGCATACACGCCCTATAGCCAAAAGGAAAAAACTGAAATAAAAAAGTTAAACTGGAAAAGGCCAGTGGATGCTGTGGTGGTTATGGTAGCTGGCTCCCACATAGCCGACTACCAAGTTTAAATTCTCAATCAGAGGCTTGAAAACCATGCTGTGTATATGTGTATGTATGCATGTGCGCCTAAAATCCCAGGAGGAGAATGGAGAAGGGAATGCATATGGCCATCCCCAGGTCGAGGGAGGTGATTTCTCACATCCCCCTCCTATCTCTCTCTGGTAAACACATGTACCCTACAGCAAAAAATGCAAAAACAAGAGAAAACAAACCTTTTTTTTTAAGAATAAGGAAGGGGCCAGCAGGTGGCACAGTGGTTATGGCACTGGACTCCCACATGACTGACTGTGGTTTGAGTCCCAGACCCAGAGGCTTCAAATAACACTGGGCACTTGCACATGTGTGCCCAAAATCCTAAGAGGAGAATGGAGGACAAGGGATAGCAGTGTGGCCATCCCACCAGGGGTGATTTCTCACTTTGTCTTTCATTGTCTCTGTTTCTCTCTGGTAAACACACACATCCTATGGCAAAAACCTTAAAAAAAATAAATAAGATTAAGGAAGATTACGTATAAACAGAGCTTGGACAAGAAGCACACTAGACTCCAAACAGCTAGCCAGTACTCCTTCCTAGAGCTAACCGCCAGTTACCAGGCCTTCCTCACGGTCCCCGACAGCAGGCTCCAGGCTTGGCAGGGAGAGGGGGCTGCAGTCTCTCACTGGGTTTCAAATACCTGCCCCCTGCCCACGCGTAGGCTGAGCTGCCCTGCTCAGCTATGCCACAGGTGGTCGTGGGCAACAAATATGCAAGGCCACAGCTTAGGCTCTGACTGAGCCTGAAGTCAAAGTCTCACAAAGAAGAAAGGTTGTCTTAAGTCACAGTCTTAACAGTTGGAACCTCTCCTTCTCTCATGTCCCCCTTTCCAGGGTCCTCTAGTAAAAGGGTAAATAGATAAAAAAATTTAACCAGAGTCTCTACTTACACCTTCATTTTCAATTCTGATTCCAACTGTCTTCTCTGTATCAGAAATTTTCCCCTTTGAACATCTGGGAAAAAAAATACAGGTTACAGGGGTCAGCAGGTGGCATGGTGGTTAAGAGCGCTGGACTCCCTTAAGTCCAGTTGACTGTGATTAGAGTCCCGGACCTGGTGGCTTGCTTTCTCGCTTTCTCTCTCTTCCTCCCTCCCACCTTGGTCAGATTAAAATAAAGTAAAATAAAATAATTTTTAAAAAAAAATACAGGTTACAGACTTTTGCTGGATGATACTTAACCTGACACAGATTAGGTTTGTGAAAATAAGATTTAATAATTTATAAACAAAAATTGCCCTGAGTTTCTATAATCCTCCAAACCAAGGGCCAGCCAATTTTTCTAGAAAAAACAGACTGTAAATATTTTGGGCTCTGCAGGTTTTATGGACTTGGTCACATCTTCTCAACACTACCATGGAAGTTTAAAAGCAGCCACGGATAGGAGGTAAATGAACGAACATGAACAATAAAAGTTTACTTACCAAAAACAGATGGCTAGGGAGAGATGGCCCATGGGCCACTGTCAAAAACTCTGCTCTAAACTAATTATCATCCAAAATCAAAAGCATGCAGAACTGCCCCCAGTGATCCTATATTAGAGACAGAGATGACTAGAGATGTCCACCCCACCCACACTCCTATCAAAATGCACCTACTTCAGCCAGCAGGTGGCTAGATTCCACAAAGTCAACTCCACGGTTCAAGTCCTAGACCCAGCAGCTTAAAAACCACACTGGGTGCCTACACATGCATGCCTGAAATCCCAAGAGGAGAATGGAGGAGAAGGGATTCTGGCATGGTCATCCTCCCTGGGAGGTGATTTCTCACTTTCCCTCTCTCTCTCTCTGTCTCTCTTTGTTCAGAGCATGTACCTATATAAAGAAAAACTTAAACACAAGAACAAAGCAACTGCTCCTCTCCCAACCCCTGGATGCCTACGAGGTGAGTGGCACCCTCCCACACAGGAGTTGGGACTCTGACACAGTGACTTACTCTCCATCTTCGCTGACCAGCTATCAAAGATGAAGAGAACTCACGAGTCCTCAGACCCAGTCATTTGTAAAAGTGACAGTTTTAAAATAAAGACACTGAGTAAGAAAACTTAGAATGAACTGAGCCATGTACCTCTTTTCACTTCGTATTGGACATAGAGGTCCCCTTGTTTCAACAACTCTATCTGTGAGGGGCATAAAGAAAAGGTTAAATGTTTCCTTTCCTTTCCTAATAAATTATATAGCTAGATTTCCAGTTTACATTTCCAAAGGTTCAGAACATTCATTTACATTAAAATGCGAAAGTGAAATCCAAGTATACTAGTCTCCTTACAAACGAAGTTTCTAAAAATGAGTAAATCTCTTTGTCCTTTAAATAAAGCCTTTAGTGAAAACTGACTGTTATCTGCTCAGTTATCATTGAGTGTCACTTAATGGACAGACAGCGGAGAAATATAAGGAAATTAATACAATAAATACAAGTAAATTAACTTTATACTACAAAATACTTGTTTATGAATAATAATTAAAGAAGCATTTTAAGAAGCTACTTCGCTCTGAAACAGCTTTGGTACTAAATTCCTGGTGCTGCACAACCCAGTCAATGCCTTGAGGTTAGACAATGCTTCAAAGCTGGGTACACCATCTTCCCTGTATGTCAAGTTCCAACTTCACGCGCACACGCTAACGCACCGTACAGTCATACATGAAGACAGGCTAACCGGGAACTCACACTGTTTTGGAACAAACTGAGTTGTTTTGACTCCGTGATTCTGCTCTTCCCCCCAGCCTCTGGTCTTTAATGGGTCCATATGACTTCTTTGAGAACTTAAAAACACAAAACATGAGGAAGATCAGACACGAAAGGAAGTCACTGTGAATATTCACTTTTTGCCTGGCAAGTTTCTTCCCACAGGGGTTACTGATTACCGTGTAACATAAAGTTACAGTGAAGAGGAGGAGACAGCATCATCCAGGACTAGGGTAAGAGGAACCTAATCTTGATCCCAGTATTTCAGCCACGTGACCTACCCTCCAGTTTCTCTTTGTAAACCCGGAGGTTCGCAATTCCCAGAGCCACCTGGACTAGAAAAACCTCCGTGTGATGATATTCAAATTAAAAGATAAAAGCTTTTAAATGATATATTTAAATGGTTCCTAATACAATGCATTAAAAGCAACAGGTGGCGTGGTGGTTAAGGTGCTGAATTCTCAAACGGATGATCGAGGTTCAAGTTCCTGACCCAGCAACTTGAAAATTACAGGAAGCACATGTATGTGCAAGCCCAAAATCTGGAGAGCAAACTGGAAGACAAAGGATTACGGCGTGGCTATCCTCTCTAGGAGACAACTTCTCACTATCCATCTCTCTGTCTTTCTCCAGCAAGTGCACATGCCTTATGGCAAAAACCTTAAAAAAAATAAAAAAAAAAAAGGCACGGACATTAAAAAGCAAAACAGCTTGAGGATTCTGCCAATATTGCAAAGCCAAGATTCCATTAAGCACACTACTACTTCTGACAGTGGTTAATCAAAATGGAGAAAATATTAATGTTCTAACAGAAGTTATGTTCACAGCCCAAACTGAAGCTCTCAGATCATTTTTTTATTTCTGCATTAAGAAGCTAATCTTGTGACTTTTTTTACTTTAACTTTCCGTTACATAATTTCTGGGATCTCTGTGTATTCCTTTTTTTTATTTTTGAAGAGGTTTTTTTTGTTTGTTTGTTTTTTTCCTATAGGGCACAAGTGCTCCCCAAAAAGAGACAGAGAAACAGAAAGCAAGAAATCACCCCCAGGGGGTATGACCACGCCACAATCCGTTCTCCTCCGGTCTCCTTTTGGGATCCTGAGCACGCACACACACGCATCCAGCCTGAGTTTAAGCCACCAGACCTGGGACTTGAACCATGGTAGACTACATGGGAGTCCATCAACATAGCCATTATGCCAAGTGATGGTCTCTGTGTATTTTTTTTGGAGAGGTTTTCGCTATAGGGCACGTGTGCTCGCCAGACAGACAGAGAGACATAGAGACAGAAAGCGTGAAATCATCTCCCAGGGGGGATGGTCACCCCGCAATCCCTTCTCCTCCATTCTCCTCTCGGGATCTTGGGCACGCACGCACACGCGCCCGGCGTGAGTTCCAAGCCACCAGGTCCAGGATGCGAACCGCAGTCGACTACATGAGAGTCCAGCGACACAGCCATTATGCTAACTGCTGGCTCCTTCTCTGTGTGTATTCTTACAGGACTTGTTAGAATTATCAAGTGTACCTAAGCTCACATGCTTTTCACCCCCTTTTCACACGCAAACACAAAGCTAAACATCACCTCTACTGCCACTCTCATGCATTTGCTCAGATCTTTAGAGTATTTCATTAACAAGCTGTCTTACAGTGCAGATAGCTGCAATTTTATCTCTCAAGTAGGTGCCTTCCAGCTGTGCTAAACTTAATATAATTAGTAAGATGCCTCAAACGGTGATGACTCTGAAGAAATGGGGGTACGAAGCCAGGAAAGAGGGGGAAAAAAAACGTGAGGAAGTGAGAGAGAAGAGACTGGGTGGGGAAGTGGGAAAGAGGTGTGCAGGATAAGGAGAAGGGAGAGGCAGGAAGAGAGACAAAGACTGTGGGAAATTGTTAGGGAGGCTAAGGAAATGCTCTGGCCTCTGGGAGCCCTACTTCAAGCAGTGATCGGCTTTTCAGTATCAGAGTTTCAGGTAAGAATTCACTTGAATAAAAGATTCTAAACTTAACAGAAAATTCTATCTTGTAAAACCACTGTTCTGTTGAGTCATCAGAAAAGTCATGATGCATTTTTTTTTTTGAAGAGGTTTTTGCTATAGGGCGCATGCGCTTGCCAGACAGACAGAGACAGAAAGCAAGAAATCACCCCCCAGGGGGGATGGCCACGCCTCAATCCCTTCTCCTCTGTTCTCCTCTTGGGATCTTGGGCACGCACGCACACGTGCCCAGCGTGATTTTTAAGCCACCGGGTCCAGGACATGAACCGCGGTCGACTACATGGGAGTCCAGTGACATAGCCATTATGCCAACTGCTGGTCCCAATGATGCATTTTAGTATAGAAAAATATATCATGACTTTTCCAACAAACCAATATATAATCCATTACAAGATACAGTATTCAGGCAAATTACAGGACTAGTTCTCTCGGTGTTAACCTCTTTTTCCAACAAAGCCCTTCCCACCAATCCCTCTCCACAACCAAACGAAGCATCTATCTTGTTAGCTCAGTCTTACCTGTGATGATGTGCAGTTACAGGTGGGACAGAGTTGCCATGGCTACCTTCTTTAAGTCGCTCCAGCAGTCTTCGGTACTTCTCCCTTTCCTCTTTTTGAACACCCTAAATAAAACGAACCATGTTAGATTAAGTGCTAGCACATTAAATAATAAAAAGAAGTCAAATGCAGCCCACTAATGTGTCTTACATGCCAAAACAGTATTTTTTAATTTCTTTGAGTTACCAACTTTAAAAATTTTTCAAAATCAAAAATTGGCTCATTTTGAAAAACTGAGTTGACCATCTGCTGCTGTCATCTTTAGATGGACAGCTGGCCCTCTAGAGCACTTCACTCACTACGTCATCTGCTGGATCTTGGTGACATCTGACTTTTTGACAGAACTGGGTTGAACTGAATTGAGTTAAAAAAAAAAAAAACTCACAAGGAATCCTGTTACATATTTAGAATGCTCTGCTTTCAAAATGGAATTGGTCTCCCCAAAGTCACCGACGCCCTTTTACGGTTACATTAAACAGGTAAGACACATCCTCGGCCTCACGGTGCTTGCTCTCGTTGGCATCTCGCCTGCCGACTTTGCCTTCCTGGACAACGGCTGTTCCGATTCTCTTCTTTTCCGTCTTCATTGCAAATGATTCCGTCTTCCGCCTACCTTACATGCTAGAGGCTTTGGCCTATCTCTTCTTACACTGCCTGCCTTCCCGGAGAGATCAATATGCAGAAGACTCACACGTCTCTTTAATTCTGCCTTTTTCTCACACTTACCCTCAACTGTCTTCAAGAGTGTCGAAAAGGTCTTACTTATTTCATAAGCCCTTTAAACAATGTCCAAACATGTCATCATCATCCCCCTTGACACACAGGGGATCCTGGTCAGTGATATATACTTATCCAAGATTGAAATCCGGGACTCGGCATCTTCCCTCTATTTTATATCAAACTTAATCCATAAATACATTCTTGCTAACATTACCTACCAATTTCAAGGATATAGCCTGTGTGTGTACCCCACAGATATCTGCTCAGTCCTGTCTCCGATTTCTCATCTACAGATTGAAACCTTCTATACCTCTTCTTTTAATTTTTTCAGGTTTTTCCAATAGGGCATGTGCACTCACTGGAAAGATGGTCAGTGAGCAGAAAAAGGACAAATCACTCCCCAGAGGGATAGTCATGTTGCAATCCCATCTCCTCCATTCTCCTCTTGGATTTTGGGCACATGCACACACACGCTCGCATGCCTGGCGTGAATTTCAAGCTGTCCAGTCTGGGACTCAAATCACAGTCGCCCATGTGGGATTCTGCTGGCCCTTTTGTACTGCTTCTTAAAGCTTCCTCCAGGGCTACAGTCCATCCTCCTCTCTGCACATTTGTTGAATTACAAGTATTTATACATTAAGTGCCTACAAGATAATGACCGCATTCTATTCGATTCTGAATTGCTGACTATTGTACCTAGGGCTTATATAAGTATTTCCTTGATGAACTAAACTAAACAAGGGGCTCAGAAAGCCACCTAGCAAGTTAAAATACTGATGGTCCTAGAAAATGCCAAGGAATGATTTTAAATTTCTTGGAATATGTGAAGCTCTCAGAGGGAAGTGAAGACGTGCTCTGAGAGGGGAGGGGAAAGGCAGAGATGCGTAGTGTTTACTTCTCTTAAGTTATTACAGTTTGTAAGAGAAACAAATTAGGATAAGTCAGGCACTCAGAGAAGAATCTATAATCTCTTTTCTTCATAACATGCTCATTTTTCTTCCTTACAGTGAAAACTATATTTGAAAATAAATTAGATCTCATATATGTGTATTATTTACATTATATTTTATATATATACACACACACACACACACACACACACACACACACACACACACGTAGACCAGCTCTAGAAAGATACACACACTATCAGTGTTAAGAGTCAAACACGGTGGCGGGGCCAGTTACGGAAGGGAAAATGGGAAACTTCTAGCTACCCTTGAGTATGCTCTTGCAGAAACCGAGCTAAACGAGCTTACCTCCTCCACGGTACAGTGGGGACGCCTTAGACCCTTGCCACCCTCTTCAGAAATCATTTCTGGTACAGCCTGCTCCTGAGGTTTCCACGTGAAGGAACTCTCTGGATTGCCTCTGTTATAGCGACGGCCACCTGATCTTCTATTATAGCCTTCTGAGTTCAAAGTAAAACTGAAAGAAAAAGAAAAAAAAAAAAAAAAAAGAATCACCAAACTGCTTAAATTGCAGAATTCAAGCTCCCACACCATCCTGTGATCAACTGCCCTAGGTTAAGCTGGCTCCTGGCTAGTCTGAGAATGGGCGCGAGGCATCTGCGGAAGCTCCATCTGGCCATGGAGCACAGGAGCCCCAGCAGTTCCACTACAGAGGGTGTCTTTCCAGCCCTGGGGCCCATAGGAAGCCTCTGCCTTCTTTCTCACGCCTGCCGTCCCAACCTCAACTAGATGGTGGTCCCCTACCATACATACCCCTTCTCCTGCTCACTTCCTCAACTAGATGGCACTCCCCTGCCGCACATACCCCTTCTCCTGCTCACTTCCTCTAGTCACCTGGCACCACTGGAATTAATTATGGCTATGGTTGCCCATTTAATGCAAATACCCCACGCCAACTTACAGCTCCATGAGTGGAGATTACATCCTTCCACCACTATACTTCAGTATGGATCTAAGCAAAAGGCACTCGATAAACACATGCTGATAAATTAACTGAAGCCATGGAACTCCTACCCAGTTACTGATGCTGCTGAAAGAATCTGCCTCTCCTGGCGTTACTAATAATGAGACATACTGATAGTGTGCCCTTCCTGATGGGATTCCTTGAGAAAAATACACCACCACTGACACTGTAATTCTACAAAAACATTGCATAATCAGGCAGAATTAAAATATCAATGCCACTATAGACAAAGAAAGGCTGAGGAGTTCTTCATAATTAAAACTAGATCAAAGGGCCCACAGGTGGCTTGGTGGGAAGGTGCTGGACTGCCACAAGGCCAACTGAGTTCAAGCCTTGGAAATCATGCCAGTAGCTTGAAAATCATGCCAGGCACATATGCCCAAAATCCCAAGAGGAGAATGGAGAAGAAGAGATTGCAGTGTTGCCATCCCCCCTGAGACGGGAGCAGGAGATTCTCACTTTACCTCTCTCTCTCTCTCTGGCGAGCCCACGTATCCCATGGCAAAAACCTAAAAAATAAAAAAAGTAAAAAGTAGATCAAGCAGACATGAAAACTAAATGCAATATACATCTTCCCCTGGACTAGATCCTGAACTAGGAAAAAAAAAAGCTATAAAGGAGAAAGTTAAACAAGACCTATAGATTATGTAACAGTATTGTATTATATCAATGTTTAATTTCCTGATTTTCATAATCTATGATTACATAAGTGAATGTCCTCATTCCAAAGAAAAAGATGTATTCAAATGTTAAAGATTAAAGGGGCATGAGTCAAAGACTTACTCTCAAATGGTTCAGAAAAAAATGACATATATGTGACAGAATGATAAAGCAAAAACAGTATAATAACAAGGGGTGAATCTGGGTCAGAGTTATTCACCAGACAGAGTTTCAGCATATAAGACACAAAGCACATGAAGCAAACTCAATATAACTAGAAAGGGAAACAGACAAGTTCACAGTCATAGCAGAAACCAATGTTCCTCACTCATCAATTGATAGGTACACAGAAAATTGGCAAGACCGTAACACATCAGTTGACTTGGCCTAAATGACATTTAGGCCACTTTACCCACTGACAGCATAAAACACTTCCCAGACACATGAAACATTATCTAACTAGACCATCTTCTAGGCCATAAAATGAACATTAATGAATTTTTAAGAAATGAAATCAAACAAGTATATTCACTGATCATAATGAAAGTGAACTAGAGGGACCAGCAGTTGGCGTAATGGCTATGTCGCTAGACTCCCATGTAGCCTACTGCGGTTCAAGTCCTGGACCCCGTGGCTTAAACTCACGCCGGGCACGTGTGCATGCGTGCCCAAGATCCCAAGAGGAGAATGGAGGAAAAGGGATTGTGGCATGACCATCCCCCTTGGGGGGGTGATTTCTTGCTTTCTGTTTTCCTGGTTTTCTGGTGAGCGCACATGCCTTATAGCAAAAAATCTCTCAATAAAAAAAAAAGAAAAGAAAGTGAACTAGAAATCAACAACAAAAAGCTGGGCTGATAGGTAGCATGGTGGTTAAGGGCACTAGACTCCCACATGGCCCACCGCAGTTCAAGTCCCAGACTTACCTAGTGGCTTGCTTTCTCATTTTCCCCCTCTTGCTCTTGCTCTGTCCCTCTCTGGTCAAATTTAAATAAGTAAATAAAAAGATAGTATCATAGATAAAGTTAAATAAAATAATTATTTAAAAAAGAAAAAAATAACAAAAGGCTATCTGGAAAGTCCCAAATATTTGGAAATTAATGTACTTCTATCTTTCTTTTTTTTTTAAATTATTTATTTTAATTTTTACTTACGCCTTCATTTATTTTAATTTGACCCGAGAGAGACACGGAGAGAGAGAGAGAGGGAAAGTGAGAAAGGAAGCCACCAGGTCTATGACTCGAACCGTGGTCAACCATGTGGGAGAGGCCAGCGCCTTAACCACCACACCACCTGCTGGTCCCTGTACTTCTATCTTTCAACATAAGCATGGGTCAAAAAGAAAGTAAAAGAGAAAAAAAAATTTTTTTGAGAGGTTTTTACTTTCGCTGGAAAGAAAAAGAGAAAAAGACAGTGAGAGGGAAAGTGAAAAATTACCCTGGGGGGGATGGCCATGCCACAGTTCCTCCTTCTTCATTCTCTTCCTGGGATAGAGGCACACACGCACACGCACCTGGTCTGGTACTCAAACCCCAGCTGGCTATGTGGGAGTCCAGCGACATAACAGCTACGCCACCTGAGGGTCCCGTAAACTGAAAATATTTTGAATTTGGGAGCCAGCCATGGCGTGGTGGTTGGGGCACTTTAGATCCTACGTGGCCGACTGTTCAATTCAAGTCAGGCACCGCAGATTGAAAGGCACACCAGGTGTGCCTAGGTGCCCAAAATCCTGAGAGAGAAGATGAAGAAGGGACTGCAGCGTGACTGTCTCCCTCGGGGTGGTTATTTCTCACTTTCCTTCTCTCTTTCTCTGTGTACGTATCCTACAGCAAACTAACATATGCATTTAGAAAGTGAATAAAAGACTGAGAAGGAAAACCAACATTTCAAAATTTGGAGGATGCAGTTGAAGCAGTATGTATAAGGAAACGGACAGCAATAAATGGTTAGAGAATAAGTTTATCTCTACTTGAGTATGTATCTCCCAAGAAGGACATCTCTTACACAACCACAATACAAATTTAGGAACTTTAGCAATGATACAATAATGGATCAGGTAGCCCATGTTCAAATTTCACCGAAGCTATTAAATATCCTTCTTAGCAAATTTTTCCCCATCCAGAATCTAATCCAAATTCTCACATTGCATTTACTGGATTGTCAGGAAAGTTGTGATGCATTTTTGCATACGAAAACTTAGAAAAATATATTACGCACTGTGATGGTGTTCAGTGAATGAATGTAAAATAAATTAATTTAAAAAAGAAAAAAACAAAAAAAAACAAAGAAAAATACATTATGACTTTCCCGATGACCTAATAGTTTTCATGTACCTTAGACTCCTTCAAATCTAAAATTGCTTTATAACCTTCCTTCCTTTCTTTGTCCCATGAAAGAGAAAGAGAGACAGAAAGGAGACAAAGAGACAGCCCCCTTAAGAGAGTTTGCCACAACCCACCCAACCCTTCACCAGCTCCTGAGCAGGGGCGCGAGTGTGCCTAGCGTACTCGGAGTCTGCGCACTTGAACCAGCCTCCCCCTCCTCGCAGGCCATTTACCGCCACATGCCACTGTCTGGCTCCCTTTCACGAGCTTTTTAATGAGGAGTACAGTGTCTGTTGTTTTTTGGGTTTTTTTAAATAATTATTTATTTTTTTATGTATTCATTCATTTATTTTGATAGAGACACAGAGAGAGAAGGTGAGGAGCAAGCCACCAGGTCGAGGACTTGAACCACGGTCAGCCATGTGGGAGTGTCCAGCGCCTTAACCACCACGCCACCTGCTGACCCCTTGTTTTTTTTATTTTAAAAATTATTTTATCTGTTTGTCTGTTTGTTTAGATTTGACCAGAGAAAGACAGAGTGAGTGAACGAGTGAGTGAGTGAGAGAGAGAGAGACAGAGAGAGAAAGTGAGAAAGAAAGCTGCCAGGTCAAGGTCCAGGACTTGAATGAACCGTGGTTGGCCATGTGGGAGTCCAGCATCCCCAACCACCGTGCCACCTGCCAGCCCCCAGGGCCTACTGTTTATAGAATGAATCTTAAATCCAGTTTAACCAGTTTCTCATGCTTACACGCAGACGACTAGATTTCAGAGGAATGCTATTAAGTATAATCCATGATGGATGATGGCTTTTTCAGGGCCATTTGCTGGACTTCAAAAAGTTCCTGGAAAATGCATATTACAAAAATGCTATGCATGGATTTGAAAGAAAAGTTTTTTGCGCCAAAATAATTCCATTCTTTTCCACACATTTTTGGAAATCCCCTCACAGTTCTAAAGACAATGATGACATTTGTTTCACTGTTGGGGATTTAACTTTGATCCTCTCTGGTTAAGAGGTTCAGGCAGTTTTGTCTCCTCTAACGGGACAGTCTTTCCTGTTGTAAATTAGTAAGTAATTTGAGGAGAGATACTTGGAGTTTATATAAATGTCTCATACGTTCTCAATCATTAACTTACTATAGGAGTTCCAGCTCAACTGCCGACTCCTGTCCATACCAACTACCACTAAGAGAGTTACGGAACAGTGATTTTCTACTTGTCATTCCTTTCATGCTTTTATTACCTATGATTCTACAAAGGTCTTTCTTTTCCCACACTACATATTTATTCGGTCGTTGGAAATGTCATGCTGTATTGTTTTGTTTTGTTTTTATACCAAAATGTGTCATGACTTTTCCAACCCAATTTTTTTTTTCTTTTTTTGGAGAGGTTTTTTGCTATAGGGCTCGTGCGCTCGCCAGACAGACAGAGAGAGAGAGACAGAAAGCTAGAAATCACCCCTCAGGGGGGATGGCCACATCACAATCCCTTCTCCTCCACTCTCCTCTCAGGATCTTGGACACGCACGCACACACGCCCGGTGTAAGTTTTAAGCTACCGGGTCCAGGACTCGAACCGCAGTCGACTACGTGGGAGTCCAACGACATAGCCATTACGCTAACTGCTGGTTCCTCCAACCCAGTATTTTTTAACTCAATATTTATTAGTATCTGAAATGTCCCCCATTTGGCTGGGGACAGCCCTTCAAAGTTTCCTCCTATGTGGGGCTGGCATATCCCACCATTTCTGAGCATCCTTTACTTCTGGCACAAGAGGTTCCAGGCTTACTTTGCACTTTCTTTCCTAGTTCAACAACAGCCATTTATCAAATTCCAGAGGGCTGGGACCAGCAGTTAGCGTGATGGCCATGTCACTGGACTCCCATGTAGTTGACTGCAGTTCGCATCCCGGACCCAGTGGCTTAAAACTCACGCCGGGTGCATGTGCGTGCGTGCCCAAGATCCTGAGAGGAGAGTGGAGGAGAAGGGATTGCGGTGTGGCCATCTCCCCTGGGGAGTGATTTCTCACTTTCTGTCTCTCAGTCTCTCTCTGTCTGGCGAGTGCACGCGCCCTATAGCAAAAACCTCTCCAAAAAAAAAAATTCCAGAGGGCTCTAGTATTTAGTCAGTGTCTCATTCTTCCTTTCTTTTTAAGTTTATTTATTTCATGGGAGACAGAGACAAAGACAGGCAACCCTAACAGTGTCTCACACCTTCCCAGCCATCCAGGAGCATGGCACGCATGCCCAGCACAGCAAGGTCAGCCTAGGAACCCAATGTTAACCCTCCTCGAGACCTTCATTCAATGTGCAGAAGCTGCACTACTGCTGCACCACCAGGGAGGGCCTCGTTCTTAGATACAAATGGGCGGCCAGGGACTACCACGTATTAAATAAAGATTCTGGGTTTGGAAGGTGACATGGTGGTTGGAGCGCTGTGCACTCCATGGCCATGGCTGACCACACTTCAAATCCCAGACCGAGCAGCTGGCTTTCTCACCTCCCCCACCCCGTCTCTGGTCAAATTAAAAAATAATAATCATTAATAAAATTAATTAATTATTTTTTAAAAATAATATATCAATAAGCATTTTTATTTAAAAAGTAAAATCAAAATTTGGCTAGTCCTGAAGCTTAGTGGTTAAGGTAGCTGGATTCCACACGGCTGATCATAATTCAAATCCCAGCTCCAAAAGTTTGAAAAACACACTGGGCACATGTGGAAACGTGCTCTAAATCCAAAAAGGATGGAGAAATGGAGGAAAAGGGATGGCAACATGACCATGGCCCACTGGGGATGCTTTCTCGTTCTTCCTCTCTCTTTCTTTCTGTTTCTGTCTTTCTCTGGTGAGTTATGTATACCTGATAGCAATTTTAAAAATAATCAAAGGCAGCGGTAGGGCACACTCAAAGGAAAAAGGGAGAAAAAAATTTAAATAATTAACACTGTTAGAGAGATAAGGGAAAAAATATTGTATCTTTTTAAGAACAAGATGTTTAGAGAAAGAAAAAAATCTATGGACAGTGAGAGCAGAGAAGATTCCTACAATTTAAAAACTATAATAGCAAAAAAAAAAAATCAGTAAAAATATGTTTTTTAATTACTTACTTTTTAAATTTTATTATTATTTTTAATTTGCTATAGGATACATGCGCTCACCAGTGAGAGACGAGAGAGAAAGAAAGTGAGAAAGTAAGCTACCGGTTCTGGGAATGAGCTATAGTCGGCCGTGTGGAAGTCCAGTACCCTAACCATTGTGAAACCTCCTGGCCCGAGTAAACATTTTTTTGAAAGAGCAAAGAGGAAAAAAGAAAAAACATTTCATGTAACTGATGGGTATACTCAGCGTATGAAAATTCATCAAGCTATACTTACTATATCTGTACTTTTCTGTATTCAATATTCTTTTAAAATTTAGAAGAAAGTGAGTACTAATTCTTTTTTAAAAGGTTCAAGAGTCAGAGGTGACATGGAGGTTAAGGTACTGGATCCCACATAGCCAACTGTGGTTTGAGTCTCAGACCTGGCGGCTTGAGAATCATTCCAGGGTGCATGACAGTACATGTACAAAGAAAGAATTCCCTGGGAATCTGATGCTAGATAACCATCGTAGTTCAAATCCCTAGCAGCTTGAAAACAGGCCAGGTACATGTGCATGTATATCCAAAATCCCAACAGGAAGGAGAAATCGAGAAAAAAGGATTGTAGTGTAACAGGCGTTTCTCTCTCTCTAGCAAGCTCATGTTCCCTCTGGCCAAAAATGAACCACCAAAACAATCAGATCACATTTGGGCATATAACACAGAAGAAAAACTAACGCACACCTGAATTCAAGTCTCTCACTAGCTAGGCAAATGAACAACCCCAGAGTACTTACTTAACAAGATTATATAATAAAACAAAAGTGAGAATGTCTAGTAAGAATAAGCAACTGGGGCCGGCAGGTGGTGTGGTAGAGCTAGGGGTGCTGGACTCCCATATGGCTGACCATGGTTCAAGTTCCGGACCTGGTGGCTTGCTTTCTCACTTTCCCACTTTCTCTCTCACTTCTCTGGTCAAATTAAAATAAATAAGTAAAGTTAAATAAAATAATTCTTTATAAAAAAAAAAAAGAACAAACAATAAGTGCTAAGTTTCTATTTACAGAAGACAGAATTTAACACTTACCCAAAGGAAGGCAGGACTCTGCGTGGCTGATCTCGGGTTACTGTCACTCTGATCTTCGGATAGTCACTGATTCCATTAGGAGATTTATTACCTATTTTAAAAATGCATTTGTAATTGTAAAAGAAATAAAAACCCGAACAGTCTGCATTAGGAAGGAAAATCTGCGCACAGTATACATGGAAGATCTAAGTGCCTGGTGTTTCATAAAAGCTAAAGGAAAGGAGAAGGTGCTTGGAACGAGCCGTTTGCCTTTGATTTCAGACAGGCAGCAATGATTCATTGGCAAGCTTTTCTAGTTTTGTTTGGTGGGACTGACAAGAGGCCATGAAGAACTCAAAGATTACAAACTCCATGTAATTTAATTAATCCGAATAAATTGTTCGAATTAAGTTTTCTCACGAAAATAGAAGTATTTCATAATGAAAACCAGCGTGTGTTACTCCAGTTCTCTGGACACTCCCAATAATGACGAGATGGTTACTGTACTTCAAAGAGGGTAATCAAATTTTCATCAGCCATATCTTCTGTCCAAGCTACTAAAGGGGCTTTGAGCCCAAGGACTTCAAATGCAGAGTTAAAATCTCAGTTTTTACCCAGTCTGCTGCAGTAAAACTTAAAACGGACCTGAACTCACACCAAGCTAGTCTTCATTTATTCTGCCCAATGTGACTACTATTTAATTGCAGAAATATTCATGTTTTCTTAGGAGTTCTACTCCAGATCCCAATGGGGTTTATAAAATGTTCAATAAACACAACATATCTAATATGAAAAATTCTGAATCCCAAAACACATCTGGCCTCCAAGGATTTCTAGTAAGAGAATGTAGACCTGTCTACGAAAGACCTACACCAGAAATACCTGTGCTTCTCGACCAAGCTACACAAACCTACAGAAATATAGTGTTGGCACTTCACTCACAAGATTTTTTTTTATTATTTTTATTTTTAGTTTTTGCTATAGTGCACGTGCACTTACTAGAGTGAGAAAGAGAGAGAAAGAAACAAAGAAAGAAAGAAATCACTCCCTGGGGACCAGCAGTTAGCGTAATGGCTATGTCGCTGGACTCCCACGTGGCCAACCACAATTTGAGTCCCGGACCCGATGGCTTAAACTCATGCCAGGCGCATGTACGTGCGTGCCCAAGATCGCAAGAGGAGAATGGAGAAGGAGGGATTGCAGCGTGGTCATACCCCCTGGGGGGTGATTTCTCACTTTCTATCTCTCTGTCTCTCTCTGTCTTTCTGGTGAGCACACGTACCCTATAGCAAAAAAAAACTCCAAAAAAAAAAAAAAAAAAATAACCCCTGGAGTGATGGCCACACCACAATCCTCTCGAGATTGTGGACATGCATGCATGTGCCAAGCATGATTTTCAAGCCACTGGATCTGGAACCCAAATGGTATAGTTGGCCGTATGGGATTAAGCACCTTACTCCATGCCACCTGCTAGCCCTACATGTCAATTTTAATAGTAAGGCAGGCTCCATGGTGCAGAGGTAACATAGTACCCAGAAGAAGCTCAGTCTCATGTGGTGACCGCAGTTCAAATCTCCAGCCTGGTCAGCTTGAAACATGCCAGGCCTGTGCACAAGTGTCAAGATCCAATGGGCTGAAGGTCTGGAGGTAGACTGATGCCTGAGCAGGCCCCAAGGAGGCTGCTGCCCCTTTCCCCCTCCTCTTTCCTTCCTCTATCTGCCTCTCTCCTCCTCTCATTCTTATGTGCACACGTATAGGCTCTATCATGAAAAAAAATTTTAATTAAAAAAAAAGAAAAAACTGGGGGACCAGCAGTTGGTGTAATGGCTATGTCGCTGGACTCCCATGTAGTCAACTGTGGATCAAGTCCCGGACCCGGTGGCTTAAACTCACACCAGGCGCATGTGCGTGTATGTACAAGATCCCAAGAGAAGAATGGAGGGGAAGGGATTGCAGAGTGGCCATTCCCCCAGGCGGTGATTTCTCGCTGTCTCTCTGTCTCTGTCTTTCTGGTGAGCTCATGCGCCCTATAACAAAAAGCTCTCCAAAAAAATTTTTTAAATAAAAATAAATTTAATGTATTTAAAATTTAACAATTCAAACAATATGAGCCAATTATAAAATTCAACTTAACTTTTTAAAGAAAATATAATACTTCAAAGAAATACCATCTTTGTTCCAAGTCCTTTGGAACTAGATTCTCTAGTACTAGTGCAGTATGCAATTACTCGCCTTTGCTCTTTTCTGTCACAGGAGGTACTTCATGAAAAAGTCTGAGAAGCACAGCTCTGAAGTTCTTATCATTTCCTTAGCTCCTTCTCCTTCTGACTTTTGAACTCACAACTCCTCTAAAGCTCATTTTCCCTGTATCTCCCTTTCTTCACAAACTTCACAAGCCTACTTGCTAACAAATATCACAACCACTTCTCAGAATTCTGTATTCTTCCTGCTTTTCCCCACCATAGCATTTTGCATAATATATACAATAATTCCGATTTCATTACAAGTCCCTAATTCATAAAACCGTGAGGACTGGGAACCTAAGGCTGCTCCCCAACTCCTCAAGAGCAAAAATAAGATCGAATTACTTTATTATTCCTGATAACTACGCACAGTGCCTGGCACAAAGTTCTCAAGAAACTTTTTTTTTAAGTGAACAAATCTTGATCTAAGTCACATTAAGGACATTAATACAAGCAGAAAACACAACAGTAAATTCAAAGACAATAATGCTGAAGGAAGGTTATCTGCTTTCTGGAATGGTAGAGAGAACATAACTTTCTTTTCATCCCAACTCAAATTGGTGTTTTTCTTTCATATTCTTAAAACTTAAAGAAAAACAGGCAAAAGGTGATAGTGGAAAGCAGAAATATTTTTGACCACCTCACCCAGTTTCAGCATGTTGTTCCAGGATCCAGAACCTGTCAGTTCACAAGATGAAGAGTTCGAAAATACCTTAAAATCAAACAGAATCACCTCTGTAGCATCTAAATTTTGAAATCAAATATGTTTCTAATATGAAAAGATCACTCTATTGTGGTTATATTCTTAGCATTTTTACAGCAGATACCATCAATAAGACCAAAGTTTAGTTTGTCAAGACTCACAAAATGATGTAAAAAAACTAACAATTCCAGGTTCTTCATACATACTTAAATATCAGAAGCAAATGTAATTATTAGACTCTGTATAGATACTCTCTAGACAGTCTTGCCATGACTCTCCTGCCTCAGCATCCCAGCTGGCAATACAGGTGCACCCAGCACACCAAATTGGTGTTTTTCTTTCATATTCTTAAAACTTAAAGAAAAACAGGCAAAAGGTGATAGTGGAAAGCAGAAATATTTTTGACCACCTCACCCAGTTTCAGCATGTTGTTCCAGGATCCAGAACCTGTCAGTTCACAAGATGAAGAGTTCGAAAATACCTTAAAATCAAACAGAATCACCTCTGTAGCATCTAAATTTTGAAATCAAATATGTTTCTAATATGAAAAGATCACTCTATTGTGGTTATATTCTTAGCATTTTTACAGCAGATACCATCAATAAGACCAAAGTTTAGTTTGTCAAGACTCACAAAATGATGTAAAAAAACTAACAATTCCAGGTTCTTCATACATACTTAAATATCAGAAGCAAATGTAATTATTAGACTCTGTATAGATACTCTCTAGACAGTCTTGCCATGACTCTCCTGCCTCAGCATCCCAGCTGGCAATACAGGTGCACCCAGCACACCCAAGGACCTCACTATGTCGTTCAGCCCACCCTCAAGGACACGATCCTCCTGCCTCAGCCTCCCTGATTACAAATACATGCCGCCACGCTGGGCCTTTGCGTTGAGCCAGGAACTGAACCTGGACCTCCCATGTGGTCCTAGCCTATGGAGCATGTCATCTTCCCACTGTATAACATAGTAGAGACACAAATACTTTTTAGATGTTTAGTTTCTTAATCACTAATTTCTTGACCTTTATATTATAGCTAATAAAGACATTGACATTTCTAGAAATAACTCATTGATACATTAATTCCAAAATAGCGATTATCCCTAAAATTAATGTTCATGACTAAGCACAAAGATCAGAAACCTCAAGAGAGCCCCATCCCCACTGACCTCTCCTGATGGGGCCACATTCCGTGTTCCATTACAAGCAGAAGTCACCATGGGCTTTGTGGTCAGCTGGAACGGGAATCCAAATAAGCTAGCAGCATTGTAGAGACTGGTTTTCACTTGGTGAATAAAGCAATCTAGAAAATGTCAACAAACTATAAATACAGAGTAATAAATGTCCAGCAAACATAAGATTATATGTGGAAAGCACATCTCTTTATTCTTATTAAAAGCCCTATTTTCAAAGACTGAAATAAAAAGATACCACTAAAAAATTTTTTTTCTAACAATCTAGAATTCTAGCATTGTAGTTTTGGGTTTTTTTAAATCTGTTTTTGTTTTGTTTGTTTTTCAGTTTGCTAGAGGGCATGTGTATTCCTAGGGAGAGAGACACAGAGAACATGAGAAAGCACCCCTCAAGGGGCATGATCATGCCGGAATCCCTTCTTCATTCTCATTTCAGGATTTTAGGCACATGCATTTCCATGCCCAGCATGTTTTTCGAGCTGTGGGTCCATGATTCAATCCATGCAGTCAGCCATGTGGGATCCACCCACCTTAATCACCATACCACCAGCTGCCCTGTTTTTTATTTTTTAATATCTGAAATGCTTTATAAACATAAAAACATCACTTTAGCAAATCACATGCTGATTCACAAAAATAGTCTTTTAAGCAATGATTCCTCAAGAACATGTAAATTTTTACCAGAGATGAGGATATAATTAAACAACACACAGGGTGTAAGTGCTAGGTATAGCAGACTCCTACAGGAAGCTCTATCATTTATTCACTGGTTTGTCCTTGCTTCTCAAACAGGTAATACAGCTGCCCTAAACAGCTACGTATTAAGCCCTTATGATAGTCTGGCTAGGTGAAGTACAAAATATGAACCTCTTAAATACTATGATGAGGGGCCAGCAGGTAGCATGGTGGTTAAGGTGCTGGACTCCCACAGGGTCGACCTTGGTTCGAGTCCTGGACCTGGAGCCTTTGTTTCTCACTTTCCTTCTCTCTCTTCTCTGTTCCTCTCTGGTCAAATTAAAATAAATAAAGTTAAGTAAAATAAACCTTAAAAAAATAAATGAATACTATGATGAAATACAGCTATTTCTATCAGAGAAAAGATGGGCTGGAAGATCTCAGACTCATGTCTCCCTGCCACTAAAAGACAAAGATTACAAAATAAGTAAATAAGGGGAGGAGGAGATTTCATCACCTTCTCCACTTCCTCCTTTTATCACACTACCTCTTTCTCAATTCCTACACATCCTATGGAAGTTTTCTACCATTTGCTAATTAAGGGTATTCTAAAGTACTAGCTGATAAAAAAAAGAACATTATCTTAGTTACATTCTGCCTTAGAGAAAAAGAACCTTTAGAGAAAAATGGCAGCTTTTAAACAATAAGTTCTCTAGACATATAAAATATAAACTTTCTAAAGAGAAGAGAATAACTGAAAAAAGGGGAGGATGTGATGGCCTAATAAAGGCAGAATCCAATCTGAATTTGCTAAGAAATTTTATGTAAAAGTAGCAGTTTGTAAATAAGTTATTTCTAATTTTTGGAATCAGAGAGAATTACAGGCTATCTTTCTGATAACAGTGAGGGATAGCATTTACATTTTGCTCTGCTTTCTAAGTGAGAGGAAAAGTACTTCAGCGTGATGCAGAGGACTAGAGGTGGCATGGTGGTTAAGGTGCTGAATCCCAAATGGCCAACTGTGTGGTTCAAGTCTCAGACCCAGCAGCTTGAAAACACACTGAAAATGGGATAGGATTTTGTTCCCACCTTTCTGATTGCATTTATCATCCCCTCGTTGACACTGGTATCATTCTGTGCTTGTCTTATACCCGCGTAACATACAATCATGTGAGGGCCTGATAAAGAGACCCTAGCACTTACCCATTTTGTAATCCCTCTAGAATCTAAAACACTGCTTAGCATTAAGACATACTCAAAAAGCAGTCACTGGATTTCAACGAAATGTTAACACAGATCTGTCCCCACTCAACTACCACATCTAAAGGCAGATCTAAATTTGGTCATTTCAGAGAAACAGAAATGTATAATTAGAGTATTCTACTATGCCTTTTGCTTTTAATTTAGTTTTATTCTCTTCTATAAAGGTGAGTGATCAGTAACAACTAATTAGAATGATTTGCTCAGGCTAACCTAGATTACTCGGTCTGAAGTATTGGGTCATTGAAAAAATCATGACATATCTTTGCATAGAAAAAAAAATCAAATGTATATTCAGTACCTAATCGTGGTCTTTTGGCTGGTATTTCATCAGTATCCACTGTAGAAAACGGAGAGCTAAAAAGAGAAATAACAAATATATATTTATATAATAATTTTAAAACAATAAATAATTTCCTTTGAAAGATGACCCCTGAAGAAAGCCATCTTTTACCTCAGGTGACAATATAAGCAGCCTTAAAAGACAGTCTTTGGGCAAATTCTGTCACCTAGTGGTTAAGGATGCCAAACCCCATATGGGTGAACTCTGTGGTTCAAGTCCTGGACCCAGCAGCTTGAAAAACACACCCAGAGCATGTATGCACACCCAAAATCCCAGAAGGAGGGAGAGATGGAAGAGGAGAGATTGTGGTGTGATCATGCCCCACCGGGGGTGCTTTCTCCCTCCAGCCTTCTCTCTCTCTAGCAAGTGCACATACCCTATGGCAAAAATAAAATAAACAAGTCAGTTCTTAACCAGAAAAAAGGTGCTATATTTACCTGCATGGAAACTATGGGTGGTCAAGAAAGTCATGATGCATTGTTGCGCAGGAAAACACAAAAATATGTCATCACTTTTCTGACAACCCACTACGTTACAGCAGTAAAAAAGAATTTGGAAATTCAAGAAAGTTTCTGAACCCGTATTTAAAAAAAAAATCAAACAGATTTTTGCTATAGGATATGTGAGACAGAAAGCGAGAAAATAAAAACCCAGGGGTGTGATCACACTCCAATTCCTTCTCCAGTCTCCTCTCGGGATTTTGGGCACATGCACACACACATCTGGCATGAGTTTTAAACTGGGAGGTCCAGGACTCAAACTGCAGCCAACTACATTGCACTGTAATCAACACGCCATATGCTAGTCACCTAATCATCTTTCTGAATCCTCATAATTAATCATACTTATCCAAAAGAAAAAAAAAAGAATGGAATGAAAGCTCAGGAGAATACCATTCTACTTATAACTTTAAACATCCCAATAAGACCTCATGGGTTGACTGAAAACTGGATCATGTTGAGAAGCTACTTAGGTTTAAGGACGTGAGCAGCTGGGGCCAGTAGGTGGTGTGGTGGCTGAGGGTGCTGGACTCCGACATGGCCAACTGTGGCCAACCTGGACCTTCCTTTCTCTCTCTCTCTCTCTCTCTCTCTGATCAAATTAAAAATAAGTAAACAAATAAAGTTAAATAATTCTTTTAAAAAAAAAAGATGTGAGCACTTAACAAAAAATTGTGGTTTTGATCTCCAACCACTGTTCCCCTGATGAGCAGGGATTCCCATCAAAAAGAGGGCAGGGAAAGAAAATTAACATTTCCATATTCAAAAAACATGTACCAAGTTATTACCATGCACCAAATCCTGAACTAGGCCTTTGGGGAAAATAAACAAATCTTGGGACTAGCAGATGCCATAATGGTTCCGTCACCAAACTCCTAAATGGCCCACTGCGGTTTGAGCCCCCAGACCCAGAGGCTTGAAACTAAGGCAGGGCATGTGTGTATGCCCAAAATCCCAAGATGAAAATGGAGAAGGGACTGCAGCGTGGCCATCCCTCCTGGGGAGGTGATTTCCCACTTTCTGTCTGACTCTCCAGTGAGCACAAGCGCCCCATAGCAAAACTCTCTCCAAAAACAAAGAATAAACAAATACTACCCTTCATAGATACTAAGCATCAGTTTAGGCACTTTGTGACATGTTTTCAATGATCCTTACATTAATCTGACAGAAAGGCAGGAAGAAGGAGAATCGTCTCTGCAGCACAAGATGCAACTTAGCCAAGAATCAATCTCATCCATGACCTGCATTCTTAGACTCCTGTATTAATCAATCACCTTGTCCTTTTTAGCTCCCAGAAACCACTTTCTGTTTTCTTCCACTTTCTTGAACACCAAGGCTTGATTTTTAAAAAGTGAAATTAACATTTGATTGCCAAAGGTTGGGAGGCACACCAAATTTGTATCATATTCTATTTTCTAGATTATTATGTAAGATAGATACTATGAAATGGGACAAGCTACCTAGTGGATGCAAGTAAGAACAGCTTTATTGTCCTCCAAATTTTAACTTTAAAGATGAGACTAGCGATCCTTCTAAAGGAGTGAGGTGCCTGCTCTTTTTCTCTCATACCCTAATGCTAAAAACACGTCCAGCAGCAAACACACACACTGCTGGACAGCCGTTTTAGAACAAGACAGCTGCTGTTTTTCCGTGCTAAGCGAACAGTACTTGCAGTCAAAACTGCTTGGGGCAAGCTACGAATCCCACTTGCCCTAACTGCACTTCCAGTGCACAGAGCACACTTGGCAGTGTGTTCTGTCAACAGCGGGCCACAACGAAGACAGTATTCCTTCGATTCTTAGTTTCCAGCCTTACAGCAGAAGGCGTGACCAAGCCCCATCTGTTTTCAGCAACCAGCCTGGACACTGATAAGAACAGCAAAGATCCCGCCATCACCAGCCACTGTCTGCAAAGACCACCAGCCCCTTCCCTGGTCAGGAGCCGCGTTCCCACGGCGTGGCGGGAGCGCCTACGTCACCAGGGTCCCCGCGCCCCGGACTCTCCAGCCTCAGCCCAGCGACCTCCTTCTGCCAGCAGAGCCTGCCGGGCTGGTTCGGGCTGGATCGACGCTTTCGGGTCGGGTCCGGCCTGGCCGCGAAGCCCTGGGTGGGGGAGGGCGCGCTGCCAGGCCGGCGCTCCGCC